AGGTTCCGAGGGGCCCCAAGGGCCCCTCGGAACCTTGGGGGAAGGGGGCACGTGCCCCTTGTTCCCACCCCCTGCCTTCGCTACTGTTTCCATAGAAACATTTTCCAAGCGCGACGCACTGCCCACAATGCGTTGTGAATGCGTGACGTCTGCTGTAATTCGAACCCGAATCATATGCGTGGAGATCTGTAATGGGAGATGTGTTGGTGGCAAACCATTAATAACTCCCAAACTCCCGCAGATATGTCCTTGATGCCATGCAAGAATACTCTTCAGAGAAACTGTTACATATTGCCCTCAGTGACAACTAGCTTCCTGCAGCCTTTCAAGTGCTTCCTCGACTATCGAAAGGCTCGCGGAACGGCTCTGAACGGGAGAGGTCCTGTAGACCCCCCCCCCCCTCGACAGGTCGCATGCCGTCCCACCAGAGCCATCTGTCGAGAGCGCCACGATCAAATGGTTCATGGAGAGCTCCGCTAGAAGCGTACCGGGTCCTCACCTCCCGTTGTTGAGATTGAGATGGACTAGAGCGGCCAGAAGTGCAGGCAGAGAGGGCGGGGGCGCATGAAGCACGTGCCCCCTGCTCTCCTCCTTAGATTCTGAGGGGCCCAAAGAGGTCCTTGGACCTACTACATGGCTTGATTTCAGGGCCCGAAGGGCCCAAAAAGCCAATCGGAAGCTGCATTTCGGGACCCCGGCCCACAGAGACACCCGCAGGAGTCCCAACCAATGTAAGTGACGGTGTCCGACACCGTGACTGATCGACACAGGAGCCCCAAGCACTGTAAGCGAATCAAACCAATGCAAATTGTGCCCCCGCTGTTACTCGTGCTTGGGAAATGGGCCCCTAGAGTTCAGACGGGCAGGAAGCCAACTGTTCAGTGTCTGAGCTCTCTGGCCGAGATAGACACCCGCGTAGTGCAGTAGTGCAGTTCCAGGGGCTCCTCAGACTTTGCAAGAGGGTCTGTGGACAGATATTGCAGGCCACAACCCTACGAGCCGGGATTCTTGATGTGGCTTACAGCCCCAGTCATTCGGGCCCTTATGTCCACCAATCCTTATGAGCCCTTATGCTCATAGTCGACTCCGCTGGACCCCCCAGATCTCTCCTCGGAACCCATCGAACACTACCCTTGGTCCGCTCCGAGCCCCTTGCAAGCATGCTGTGGGCTCCTAAGCCACAGCACGCTTAGGCGCTGTGGGCCCTGACGGATACAGGGGCCCCGACCAGCGTAAATCACTGGCCTCGGCTTTGTAGCTGATTGGGAAGTGAGCCCTCAGACCCATACCGACATAAAGCAGACTGTGCAGTACTGGTTGTGCCTAACCGACACATGGGCCCATATCGACTCAGGGTGTCCTTGCTCGGCAGAAAGTGAACTGTCTGACTGTCCCTGACTGTCATTTGGAGGTCCCTAAATAAAACTCCGCAGGTCCCCACAGGTCGGGGCCCCTCTCCGACCAGCTCTTAGTCCCCAAATCGAACCCTTAATTGTCAACCCGGTGGGCGCTCCAGGATCTTCGAGCCTCCTGGAGCGCTAACTCTGGCCGACCTAGGGCCTCTTGCCAGCAAGGGGCCCACGTTAGGCTCTGTGTTGCCGCAACCAATACAAATAGCTGGATTCGGTTTTGTCCCTGCTTAAAAAAGGAGCCTCAGGGGCATGCCACCGCGGAGCCGACTGCGCATTAGTGGTGGTGTCTGACTGAAATATAGGTCAGACACCACCAGTGTAAATCCCTGGCCTCGGCTTTGTAGCTAATTGGGAAATAGGCCCTCAGAGCCATGCTGGCATGGACCAGACTGTGCAGTAATGGTAGTACCTAACCGACACATGGGCCCATGTCGACTCAGGGTGTCCCTGATCAGCGTGCAGGTGCTCTCTGGATGGCGTTTGGGTTCTTCATTTGGGTTCTTTTGGGCTCTTCGGACTCTAAAATCAAATCCCTGATAGCAAGTCCGAATAGCTCTTTGGGGCCTCCAGAACCTAACTGGGAGGGGAGGAGGCGCTACTCTCCCTTTCTTCTACATGCCTGCTCTAATGGCCCCTGTCGAGTCTATCCCAGTCTTAATAATAGACTGTGAGGCCCTGGCGCGCTTCTAGCGAAGCTCTCCATGAACCACTTAGTCGTGGCGCTCTCGACAGGTGGCTCTGGCGAGGCGGCATGCAACCTGTCGGAAAAGAGAGGACTGTACCACAAACAGGACGTCTCCTGTTCAGAGCCATTCCGCGAGATTTTCAATAGTCGAGGAAGCACTTAAAAGGCTACAGGAAGCTAGTTGTCATTGAGGGCAATATGTTACAGTTTCTGTGAAGAGCTTCCTACATGACATAAAGGACGCGATGTACGGAAGTTTGAGAGCTATTGGTGAAACACGAGAGGAAACGAGAGGAAACTGAAACATTCTCATTGTTCAAAGTTTTGTTCAACAAAGTTTTGTTCTTGCATGATATGCCGATTGCGATGAAACTACACGCATTACAACACTTAAAGAGCAAAGTATGTTTTAGTGGCCCAGATATTTTACACCGTGACCGTGACATGCCGATGCCTGATGACGTGGCTGGGCATGGGCTTCAATGCCATTTTAATGGCATGTGTTATCGCGTTGCGCTGCTAGCGATCACCTTGCCTCCAGGACTTTGGTCGGCGACAAAAAAAAATGTCTTTTTACCACCACTGGTCCAGGAGCTGGCGGTGATGGCGGCAGGGGCAGATCTAGCCCGAGTTTTGTTGGGGGGGGGGGGGGAGGGCCAACCGTTCGTCGCCAGCTGGCTGGTGCGGGATCCAGGGTCCAGTGCATGGTGCCTCTCGCGAGTACCTAGTACGGACATCATTCAAAACTGAAAAAAAACACCGAAATGCTTTTTACTCTTAAACGGAAGTTAAAACAAAACAGCTAAAACAGTTAAAGTTAACACAGACGTTAAGTAGACGAAACTTTTATGAAGTTCTGGGAATGTTTGGGGGGCAAAACATGCTCCCAAAGTTTTTTTTGGGGGGCCATGGCCCCGTGACCCCCCCTCCCCCAGGATCCGCCTATGCATGGCGGCGGCCGACACATGACAAAGCTTATCGAATTATGGAACGTTTCGGGAGAAGATATTAAAGCAAGCACGATATTTGATGCTCGTGCTATTTAAAGCTCAGTTGTAACCACTGATATACTTTTAAGTGCAAAAATTATGCTCTATATAACAAAAATTCACTTTTCAGTGAATGCGGTTCTCAGCACGTCACTGGCTGATCACGTCGTGGCACGTTGTGATGACGTCAGGATGGCTGCCAGACTGTCACGATTGCTCAGTTGGTTAGGGCGCCTGCCTTCCGATCTTCCACCCGTGGCGGGTTGGGTTCAGGTTGCTTCAGGCGCTTGCTATTTGCCCTTGACAGATGTGCCCTGCAGCCGGTGGCAGCAGCCGCGCGAATGGTCAGGTGTCGTCGAGGGCAGGACACGCCGTGCTGAGCATTGTGGCACGTTTAACTTCTGCCGTTACTTATGCCGTCGACCTGGAACCGCTCCACCTGATGGTAGGAGTTCAGGACTTGCTCAATAAGCACAGCTTGGTGTGATGTCTGATCTGTAGACGGCCACCACGTCGAAGGCACGGAGGTTTCAAGTGCGCTATATTCGCGACCGCCCATCGCCAGCACCGCGCCTCAACTCCAACCAGACTCGCGCCTGGCCAGGACTCGACCCGAACTCCCCGTGGACGCTGACGGGAAAACGACGAAACCTCGGAAATAGGCGGGCTAGACCTAGAACTAAACAGGGCTAAAACCGACAGAGCAGACTAAACTTACAAAATGAATACGCAATACAAAATGAATACGAAAATAGCATGGAACTGACTGACACCAAATTAGACCCCAGTATCATAGCAAACTAAATGACTAACAAACGCGAAGCGAGCATTAAATCAAACTAGACATGCAAACGATACACTGACTACAGATCAAGAAATCCAAGTATTTAAAATGTTCAGATGAAAAAAAACTGGTCGCGTCAGAACTGCAACTGTAGCAATGAGCTGCCTAACTAGAAGTATTTCAACTTCCCGCAAGGCGGCTTGTTAATTTATGCTTAGCTCGTGATAAACCCGACTGCTTTTCCCCTTTCTCGTGGTGTCATTCTACATTGATGCGTGATTTATTTTGAGTTGCACCTGCATTCTCTGTTATAGCATTAATGAAGCTGACATTATTCGATTCTCAGTCTCACGTGCTTCACACCTGGTGGGTCTCCCCAAACGCGTATATATATATATATATATATATATATATATATATATATATATATATATATATAACGCATTCATCTGGATCCAAGCCAGCTGCTGTTCATTAGTGCGGTGAGCTGTGCTGACGCACTCCGAACATGAATAAGTGAACGGTAATATCTGTCTTGCCTTTGAACATACGGCAATTGAGGTGAAATTCGTATCACATCTCTATGATGCCATACATCTCTAGGCGACCTCAAGATAGGCGGTACGAAATAGCCTGGCAAAAAGTTTGCGTGCGTCTAGCACAGCAACGAGGGGGCTGGAAGACTTGGAAGGGCATAACTTTGCGCTGCAGGGAATGACTGAAAACGTGCCGTAGTATCAGCAGCTGGGGGCATCGTACATCCCAGTAACACACATACAAGACTGAAAACGGCCATCGCAGTTCCAAACGTCATAGAAATGTGAAACAGTCCCTTTCAGACGAGCGTTGTTGCACGTGGCGTTTTCACCCCCTATAGTGACCGCGTAAGGTGTATGTTTCATACTACTAGAACTAGATGCCGAGTGCAAAGCGGTATTCGATCTTTTGGTAGGTTTTGAACTGTTTTTTTAGCCTAGTACTGAGATGAAAGTATGCTACTGGATTGTTTCAAAGAAATATACTCGCATCAGCTTTTCGAATTTCCATCTCACGTCTTTTCTAAAACAAACCGAATCCAAGATGTTGAGCCGATTTACTACCATTACATGGACGTATCGCATATGTTGGTGTCCAACGGGTTTTTTTTATTTCGGCGAGAGGAGGTGGAATGCCAGTTCTGTATTGACGATACACTTCAAAGCACCGAAGGGCAAAACCCACGCCACGAGTAGAAACACAGTCCTCATCTCCTTGAAAACTATTCCAGAGCAACGTCAGCCTTTCTGGAATAAATCAGGTACTTCACAATGTTCCAGACAAAAGAGGCGCACGTACAAAACAGTTCGAAATAATCTGCATAAATACGACACGAATCGCCTGCCACAACATGGCAGAAACCTATCACAAACAAGTACATGAGTCATAATTTCAGGCGATTCATGCAGTGCAGTTCCATTAGATCAGAAAAGGACAGAAAAGTGCAATCATGAGGAGCGAGAATCTGGACACTGGCATTGAATGGCCCTGAACAGATGCCCTGAAAAATGTGGTGTGCCATAATATCTTGCCGAGTTTTACAACACAGCTTGCATACAACTCCCTTCTCCCACTAACGGAACTTAAGAAACGAATGACACTTTCCTTTAGCGCACACTACACCCTGCCCTACAGCGTATATCATGAAGCACGTAAGCGATGCCCCAACTGCCACCAGCGCCACCTCTGCAGGAACGCCCAACAAAGGCCGAAGTGCGACACCATCCGCTTACTCCAGCGGACGCGCCTCCACTCGGCCCTCTCCACGCTCCGAATTCCCACTGCTCAAACCTCATCGTAGAAGTCGACGTGCGCGCCCGACTCGAACTTGTCGCTCTCGAGTAGGCCGATGAATCGGTCGACCGTGGTCTGGCAGGTGAGGAAGCTGCCAGCCAGGCCGTCGCTGAACGCCTGCTTGACGTCGGGGTCGGCCGAGGAGCGAGCGATTTCGCGCGACATGTCCGTTACCAGCGGGCCCGGCGCGTACGAGAGCACGCGCAGCTCCGGGTGCTCGGCCGCCAGCACGCGGAAGAACATGTCGCGCGCCGCCTTGCCCGCACAGTAGAGGCTCATCGACTTGAACGGCTGCAGAGCGCACAGTGACGAGATGTTGATCACGGTCACGTGCTTCACGCGCGCCTGCGCCCGGCGCACGAAGATGGCGTTGAGCGCCACTGCCGCCGACAGGTTAAGCTTGAAGAAGGTGTCGATGTAGCCGACGTTGTCGTGAAGCAGCGCCGTGCGCGAGGCGTCGCCAACGCTGCCGGAGTTGTGCACGATGATGGCGGCCTCGAGCGGCGCGTCGGTGTCCAAACCGCTGCCGACGATGCGCTCCAGATCGAGGCCATCGGCGGCCGCCAGGTCGCAGGCGAGCGGCACGACGCGCAGCTCGCGCGGTGCTGCCAGCGCGATCAGCTCGCTGGTACGCACCAAGTCGCTGTGGTTGCGCGCCGTCAGCACCACCACCGAGCCGGGGCCGAGTCGGCAGCTGAGCCTGGACGGCCAGCTCGCGGCCCAGCCCGCGGCTGGCGCCAGTCACCAAGCAACAGCGTCGGCCGGTTCAGATCCACCATGGCTGGCGGGCTCCCCGACTACCTCTCAGACGCTGGCTCGGCGCTGTCGTCCGTCGGCGCTCGCTCCTCGTCCTCCTGACGAGCCTCCTCGTGTGCGCGCTGCAGCTGGTCGGCGTGCAGTAGCTGAAGTAGCTCTTCGCTACTGAGCGGAACGGTCTGCGGCAGCAGACGGCGCTGCAAGTAGCTAGCCGTCACTGGGTGGTCGTCAGCGTCAGTGCCCTGGTCGCACGTGCTCGAAGAATTCAACAGGCGCACGAGGTGGTCGTCGCGTGCGTCCTGGATAGAGTTTAACAGGTGCTTGGCGGACGTGGCTTGGTGGAGACAAGACAGCTTTCCGTCTGAGAGAAAGAAAACTCACTGAAGAAACTGGCGTTTGGAGAGCCAGTATATCTCTCACACAATGCATGAGAAAAATACACTTCTATGTCGCCAGCGTCATGGAAAAGCAGATCACTGTATGTGATGAATGATCATTTTGCTCAATCAAATTTACAAGCTTGCTGCAAAGCAGCCCACTATTGTCAGTATGATGTGTCAAAAGCTAAACAAATGGATTACAGCAAGGAATTGTCAAGTTATTGAAAAAAATAGCTTGCAGTGCTTGCATAGGGGCCACAACAAAACACATGAGTATTTTAACAGCCCTTCTTCTTGAAATATCCAGAATTGCTGCACATCAACACTCTATGTAATTTAAACTTGAGTATGACCCTTTTTCAGGCACCCCAAAGTAAAACTGATGCACAGCAATAAGAACACTGCAAGGCTGAGCACGACGAACTGGCGATCTTCAACTGGCCATATAGGAAACAACTTGTCTACAAAAATTACAAAACTTTAGGAAAACTTTAGTTGATGGAATTTGTCTTCTAGAAATAAGTAACTTATAGAAATGCATATAATCTGAAAGTCATAGCTGCTAGAACTCATGTCTATGAAAAAAGTATGCTGACAACACAAATATGTACACACACACATATATATATATATATATATATATATATATATATATATATATATATATATATATATATATATATATATATATGTTAACCTTGTCAACTGGAAGTTATTTCCTTTACTCTATAAATAAATGTTAAGATTTCTAGAATGGAAGACAAAACTACTAAATCAGATAATCAGCAGAAATTAGATCCAAGCTGCCTGCGCCATCTGCAATGATGCACCAAGCATGACTCTCCAAACACAATCAACACTTAACAACATTTGAAAACTTAAACCCCCTATTTCCTGTGCAACCACACTGAAACGACATTATCCTCACACTTAATTTCGACCAGGCTATACCATACTTGTACAGTCAATCAACATTGCACCCAGTCTTTACATAAGTTAAGCAGCTTAAAGCAATTAAAATCTCATCACACAAATCACACTCCTACACCAAAAATGAGACACAAATAATGATGTTTATGTAAAACTCATCTTGTTGTCCCCAATTAAGTTGAGTACCTTAAGTCACTATGCAGTGGGAACAAGCAGCAGAGTTAAACCAATTTTTTTTACTCATAGCATCTTGTTTTAGTGTAAGGAGTGTGATCTTGTATGCTAGGAATTCATTGAAGAATACATTGGTTGAACTTCTGCTGCCATTTTATCACTTTACACCCTCCAAGATTGATGCCACTTTGTTTGACCAGGTGCAGCTTGTTAAGCATTAGTGAAATGAAAATGGTGGTAAAATTTGGCAGTGCATTTGTGGGACATTCCTATTTTCGCTACTGTTAAAACTTTTGAGTTTTGCATCTGGAAAGCTGTGTGCATCATGATGGTGCATCATGGGCTGCATCATTGATGGTGCATCATGGGCTGCATCATTGATGGTGCATCATGGGCTGCATCATTGATGGTGCATCATGGGCTGCATCATTGATGGTGCATCATGGGCTGCATCATTGATGGTGCATCATGGGGTGCATGCATCATTGATGCATTATATTTGTCTCAATGGCTGTGGGGAAGGACCATGCAAAATGCAATAGTTGGCAGTTTCAATCTTTGGTAATTTTGAATACTTCAAGAATGTTGATAAAACCAGTACACACACTGGAAAGAATGGTGCATGAGGAGATGTAGAAATAGAAGGCACACAGCACCAATAAAATACAATTTTATCATGTTCAACCAATTAAAGATGTTTGCCCCATCATAATGAAAAGCTCTTGGCCATCACATCTTTTGCAAGCCTGGTGAGCAAGAAAAAAACTTGCAAACTTCTGACACAAAATATTAATGTCTGACCAAAGATCATTACAAGCTGAACCCACCACTTCTGTCCAAAGGCAGGCACAGGCTGTAATCTCTCACAAAAAGTATTAAAATATGCAAAAAACTTAATTTCATGCAGAACAGAACAGGTTTATCCCTGTGGGATATGCAAGCTCGCACAGATAGATATACTGATGATGGACATCCACTCATCCAGTAGTATACTTACAAAGCTTACTCAAATATTTATCTGAGTCTGGAAGCTTCTCAGCAGGAATTTTCCCCATGTGTGGCACATCCACAACAGTTTTCCATCCATCTTTGTTCACAAAGCTGTCCTCAAAACCATTCGTGCATGAATCTGGACCTTCCATGGTTTTGGCAGCACCACCTGACTCAGATGCTGGACATGTAGCAGAATTCCAGGGATCCATCTTGTCAAAATTCCTTTGAAGATATGTTCACCAGATGAGCCCAGCCCAGACAAACTGCCCTGATGAGCTCATCCCCAAGATGACATGAGCTCAAAGATGGACCCACAGGCCAGTTCAGGGACTAACACAGCATACACAACAGGGACATCTCCTGCCCTGCCTACCAGGCTGGGACAGGCGAGACCAGGCTCTCTTCTTACATTCCATTTAAGCACCAGGCCTGAAAATGGCACTTCACCCCTAAACTTTGTCATTTATGAGCTGTGGCATGGAGATGGACAAGCCATCTGAGTTCATGAACAATTCAGGCCTTTAGCTGCTGGACAACTGGCCCACTACGCCCAAAACCAACTTTGATTTTAATTCATGACTATGACAAACTTGGTGCCAAAACAGAGGGTATGTAATGCCATAGGGTATGTTGCACATCACTGCAGATGTAAAATATGAACAAAAACCAAAACAAAGAAGAAACAATCTCTTTTAGCATTAGTCTATTAAAAATAATGCCAACAGTTTGAACAGGCACACGCAGAATGACAAAACAGGACCGTCATTTCAAACAAAATTGTGTAACTTGCAGTGTCAAAACACAAAGCAAATACAAATTATGAGACATGACACAATCAATGAAAAGTATTTAACCAGTATGATGTTGTAAGGGTGGATATTTCCAAGGCAATAATCTCGATACCCTGGCAGCCACTTTCATCAGTTTATAGCTGCCACAATTAACTTCACTTTACTTCTCAAGTTGCTGAGCAGCAAAAAGCGGTAATTTTTTACTTTGGTACCTGTATGGCCGACGGAGGGAAGAGCTACGCTAGCTGCAGGGTTTCGAGTATTGTCGTCCGGGGGAAAAGCTGTGAGGCATCGGCTGACATTGTGACGTCACTGAAAATGGTTTTGCATCGATCGGGATGGGGGTCCTTTCGGGCCGACTGAAGGCCATAAGGCTTTTGAATGTGACATGTCACTGGTATTCGGCTGGGTATGTGACGTCACGGGTCGTGAGTTTGTAAGGCTCTTTTGGGTCCACCGAATGCCGTAATGCATCAGCTGGCCATGTGTCGTCACTGGTATTCGATTAAACATCAGGCGCGACCGGCCTCGTTCCATCTTTACTTTTCGTACCTGACTGCTGCAAGCATTTGCGTGCCGCATAAAGGTTTGACCGAATCACCTCAATGTGTGACGTCCTTAATCATCACTTCATACGGGTGCACTTAGGCCCCACGACCACGGTGTGTCATGGTCTACGAAGTATCACCGGATAGCGTGACGCCACTGGTATTCGAATAAATACTGAGCGCAACAGGCCGTGCTTTATTTTTACCTTTGTATCTGACTACTGCAAGCATTGGCGTGCTGGATGAAAGCTGCCGAACCACCTGAGTGTGACGTCACTGGTCACGAGTTTCACCGGTGCTTTTCGGCCAACTGAAGACCACAAGGTGTCAGCTAACGACGTCACTGCTATACGACCGATTGTAAGACGTCAATGGTCGTGGGTTTCCACGTGTCCTCTAGGACCGACGAAATGCCGTAAGGCATCAGCTGGCGATATGACGTCACTGGCATTTGGCTGAACATCAGCCAACAGGTCATGCTCCATTTATACCTTTCGTACATGTCTGCTGCAAGTATTGGCGGATTTTTTGCGGCCAACTGAAGGCCATAAAGCATCAGCTAGCGATGTGACGTCACTGGCATTCGACCGTGCGTGTCGCTGGTCATGAGATTTTACGGCCTCTTTTGGGCCGACGAAAGGTCATACGGCACTGACTGACGATGTGACGTCACTGGTATTCGAATGAACTTCGGGCGCGACAGGCCATGTTTCACCTTTATCTTTGGTACCTGTCCATTGCAAGCATTGCCGTGGAAGGCTCTGCCAAATTACCTGAGTGTGTACGTCACTGACCATTAATTTGTATACTCTTCTGAACCTACTATAGGCCACAAGGCATCAGCTGACGATATGATGACACTAGGTCTCGACTAGACATCATGCGCAGCAGGCCATGCTCTATCTAAGCCATGTTTCGTCTGTACCTTTCGCACCTATCTACTGCAAGTATTCGCGCGACACATAGGGGCTCTGCCGAATTACCTGAGCGTGTGGTGTAACTAGTCATGAGTTTACGCGGGTTTACTCTGGCTGACCGAAGGACATCAAGCATCAGCTGACGATATGACGTCACTGGTATTCGACTATACTCCAGGCGCGACAGGCCATGTTCCATCTCTACCTTTCGTACCTGTCTCTTGGAAGTATTGGCGTGCTGAATGAAGGCTCTGTCGAGTCTCCTGAGTAAGTAACGTCACTGGTCAAGAGCTTTTTACGGGACCTTTTGTACCCCCAAACGGTATAATGTATCAGCTGACGATATGACGTCACTGATGTCCGACTTAACATCAGGCGCGACAGGCCATGTTCTATCTTTACCTTTCGTACCCGTCTATTACAAGTACTGACGTGCTGAATGAAGGCTCTGTCGAGTCTCCTGGGTGTGTAACGTTACTGGTCATGAGTTTTTTCTGGCTCCTTGGAACCCTCTATAGGGAAAAATGCATCAGTTGACGACGTGATGCCAATGGTGTTTGACTTAACATGAGGCGTAACAGGTCATGTTCCATCTTTGCCTTTCGTACCTGTAAAGTATTGGTGCGTTAAATGATGGCTCTGCCGAGTCACTTGAGTGTGCGACGTCACTGGTCATGAATTTTTACGACTATTTTTGGCTGAGCGAAAGCCATAAGGCATCAGCTAACGAAATGACTTCACTGGTAGTCCACTGAGTGTGTGACGTCACTGGTCATGAGCTTTTACGGGCCTTTTTTGGCCGAGTTCAGGCCATTAGGCATCAGATAACGTTATGGCGTCACTTGTATTCGAATTAACATCAATTGCAATAAGCCATGTTTCATCTTTACCTTTCGCATCTGCCTACTGCAGGTATTCGTGCGCTACAAAAAGGCTCTGTCGATTCGCCTGAGCGTGTGGTGTAACTGGTCATGAGTTTGTGCAGGTTTACTCGGGCTGACTGAAGGACATCAAGCATCAGCTGACGATATGACGTCACTGGTAATCGACTAAACTCCAGACGAATCATCTGAGTGGGTGACGTCGCTGGTCATGAGTTTATACGGATTCACTTGGGCCGCCCAAGGCCACAAAGCAACACCTCCCGTGAAGCATCACAGGATGATATGTCGTCACTGTTATTCGACTTAACATCAGGTCCAACATGCCACGTACTTTCTTTACCTTTCGTACCTGTCTATTAAAGGTATTGACGTGCTGAATAAAGGCTCCGTCGAATCTCCTGAGTTTGTGACGTCACTGGTCACGAGTTTTTATGGGCTCTTTTGAACCCATTATAGGTTGTAATGCATCGGCTGACGGCATGACGTTACTGGTGCTCGACTAAACATCAGGCGCAACAGGTCATGTTCCATATTTGCCTTTCGTACCTGGCTGCTGCAAATATTCGCGTGCTATATGAAGGCTCCGCCGAATCACCTGAGTACGTGACGTCACTGATCATCAGTTGGTAGGAGGTCACTTGGCCACCTATGGCTACGAAATTCCGCAGCAGAGGCGGGAGATGCACCATAGTTAAGCACACTAATTTTATTGTGCGCACCATTAAGTAGCAGCTTCAAACGCAACGGGCTGTTTCAACGACTAAAATTTTGAACAAACGTAAACACAAAACAAAGGTGATCCCAGCCCACAAACCGACGTATATGCAAAGCTATTCCGCCCGACATCACAGGATGCGCCCCTGAGCAGCTACGGTCCGGAATGCCCTGACGGCTAAATAATAATCAAGGGCGCCGCCTAGCGGTCATAAGTCTGGGCCACAGACCGAATATCAGTGACGTCATATGGTCAGATGATGCTTGATGTCCTTCCGTCAGTCCGAGTAAGCCCGCGTAAACTCATGACCAGTTACACCACATGCTCAGGTGATTCGGCAGAGCCTTTATGTAGCGCGCGAATACTTGCAGTATAGAGGTGCGAAAGGCAAAGATGGAACATGGCCTGTTGCGCCTGAGATTAAGTCAAACACCAGTGACGTCATATCGTCAACTGATGTCTTGTACCCTATAGGTACAAAAAAGCGGCCCATAAAGGACTCATGACCAGTGACATTACACACTCAGGAGATTTCACAGAGCTTTCCTTACGCATGTCAATGCTTACAATAGACAGGTACGAAAGATAAAGACGAACATGGCCTGTCGCGCCTGGTGTTAAGTTGAATACCAGTGACGTCACATCGCCAGATGATGCTTGATGTCCTTCAGTCAGCCCGAGTAAACCCGCGTAAACTCATAACCAGTCACACCACACGCTCAGGTGATTGGGCAGAGCCTTTATGTGGCGCGCGAATACTTGCAGTAGATAGGTGCTGAAGGTAAAGATGAAACTTGACATATTGTACCTGATGCTTAATTGAATACCAATGACGCCATATCGTTGCCTGATGCCTAATGGCCTTAAGTCGGCCGAAAAAGGCCCGGGAAAACTCATGACCAATGGCGTCACACACTTAGTGGATTACCAGTGACGACACATCATTAGATGATGCCTTATGGCTTTCACTCGGCCAACAATAGCCTGTAAAAACTCATGACGACGCACTCAGGTGATTCGACAGAGCCATCATTAGGCTCGCCGATACTTTAACAGGTGCGAAAGGCAAAGATGGAACATGACATGTTGTGCCTGATGTTAAGTCGAACACCAGTGACATCATATTGTCAGCTGAAGCATTATACCATATAGGGGGTTGAAAAGAGCCCGTAAGAGCTCTTGACCATTGACGTCATATAACACGCGAATGCTTGCAGTAGGCAGGTACGAAAGGTAAAGGTGGAACATGGCCTGTTGCGCTTGATGTTGAGTCGAATACCAGTGACGTCATATCATCCCGCGATGCTTCACAGGATATGATGCTTTGTTGCATTGGGGTGCCCAAGTGAGCCTGTATGAACTCATGACCAGCGACGTCACGCACTCAGATGGTTCGGCACCACCTCGATATAGCGCGCGAATGCTTGCAGTGAACAGGTACGAAAGGCAAAGATAGAGCATGGCCTGTTGCGCATGACATCTAGACGAAAACCGGTGACGTCATATGGTCAGCTGATGTGGTGTGGCTTACGGTAGGTTCAAAGCAGTCTATATAAATTAATGGTTAGTGACGTTACACACTCAGGTAGTTCGGCAGAGCCTTCCTTCAGCATTCAAATGCTTGCAATGGACAGGTACCAAAGGTAAAGATGGAGCATGGCCTGTCCCGCCTGAATTTTATTCGGATACCAGTGACGTCACATCTTCAGTTAATGTCGTATGACCTTTCGTCGGCCCAAAAGAGGCCGTAAAATCTGATCACAAGTGACATCACACACAGTCGAATGCCAGTGACGTCACATCATTAGGTCATGCTTTACGGCTCTCAGTTGGCCCCCAAAGATCCATAAAAATGCATGACCAGTGACGTCACACACTGACGTGATTTGGTAGCTTTTATTCATCACGCCAGTGCTTGCAGTAGACAGGTACGAAGGTAAAAATGAAGCATGACCTGTTGCGACCAACATTTAGTCGAATATCAGTGACGTCACGATACCTGGTGATATTTCACGGAACATGATACACCGCGGCCGTGGGGCCTAAGTGCACTCGTATCAAGTGATGATTAGTGACGTCACGCATTCAGGTGATTCGGTCAAGCTTTTATTCGACACGCAAATGCTTGCAGCAGACAGGTACGAAAGGTAAAGATGGAATAAGGCCCGTTGCGCCTGATGTTTCATTGAATGCCAGCGACGACATATCGTCAGGTGATGCTTTACGGCATTCATTACACCCAAAAGATCCCTAAAGCCTCACAACCAGTGACGTCACACATCCAGTCGAATACCAGTGACATCATATCGCTAGCAAATGCCTTGTAGCCTTCAGTTGGCCCAAAAGAACCCCGATCGATGGAAACCCATTTTCAGTGACGTCACTACGTCGGCTGATACCTGACAGCATTTCTCCATCACGGCAGTACAGGAACCCTGCAGCCAGCGTAGCTCTCCCCACCGTCGGCAATACAGGTACCCAAGTAAAAAAAAGCCCAAAAAGCATCCTGTAATGGCAAGACTATTCAATGTGCTTATTACCCAATGCAAAAAAAATACTTCCTTCTGTAACACTGTTGGTGTTGCATTACATAAAGCAAGCTAATGCAAAGACAATTTTGCTGTGAAGATGAGAAAGCAAGCATCAGGTTATGCCTCACGGCAACCTGTCAGGTTTTAATATTAATTAGGAGCTTGGCAACATATGGCAGAACTTTCACTGAGCAACACGTCACAGGGTAGCTACTGTCTGTAGGGAGATTTCAGGGATTTCATGGAATGGCAGTTTCCCACAGTACCTAGTTGCCAGTCACCCCAAAGATAACACGCCACAAGCACCAGTTCCAATTAAGCAGTCTACTGGTAGAAAGTTGAAGCCACGCACCGACACCGGTACCCTAATGTTGGTGACCCCGATTAAGTATTGAGAAATATGCCCAGGGGCAGCAGCCACCGCGCATGCCCGGCATCTGGGAGCGCCATGCCATCTGAACAAGCCACTACACGTAATCAAGCGGTTGTCGAGGGCGCGGAGGGAAGCTCCGTACGTTGGAATGCTGGCAAGGACCATGGTTCGTTCAGATGTAGGGCCCGGATATATCACGGACAATTCACCGCCCCCCCCCCCCCCCCCGTACCACCGTAGCCCTCCTGCTCGGAGGCGTATTTATTCCAGCAGGTATGAAAATTCCGCTTCAAGTAAAAATATGCTGTAAAGCTACCAAATTAAAGAAGTTTTATTACCTGCACACGTAACGCCAAACTTTCGCATCACAACACTCGTACACACAAACAAATCCCGCTGCGTACGTTCGGCCTACCACGTATCGTCTTTCAATCTCGCATGCATTAGTCAAAAGATCGCAACAAAGCAGGGCAATGTGAGCAAAATTTGTTCAGTCACTTTTACGTCCAGCGAAGTTTAGGTTTTTGGTTTAGTTCTCGCTGGTCCTGTTTTGTGATAAGGTTCTGACAAAGCCCTGGTCTGACGCAAATTGGAGCTTGTATCATGAATTATACACGAACGTCATAAACGCATGACCAAAATACGTAAGAACTCCATGTCATTGCTTCCATAATTGAGCAATGAACATGCCTGTTTGGGATTCGTGTTGCCACGAGGCACGGCCTTGCATGCATGATGTTGTAAATCTGGAATAGTGTGGTTTCAAGCGTTTGTGATTTCACTCGATGCAGAGGGTCTGCGGACGTTGGTTAGGTGCGTATACAGTTCAGCTTAAAATGGCCAGTAACTCGAAACGCGCGAACGCGCATAAAAAGAAATACGCACGCGTCGTTAAGCCAAGCGAAGACGTACAAGAGTCGAGTTTCATGCATATAGTTGCGTTGGGAGTGAGTGTATTCGGTGATGACAAGAATTATCGGTCGGACTGCCTCACACGCAGCGGTGACCTGCCGCGCACGACGCCGACAGGGAGAGACCCACCCCACGCGCCCGAGCAGCACCTCTTTTACTCCTTCCAAGGCTCATCCCCGCAACATGATCTGCGAGCGACTGGCCGGCGCCACCGTGACGCACCGCCCCGAGCCGTGATTGTTCCCCTCACTCAGACATGAGTCATCGCCCCGGGCATGGTCCACCGCTACAGTGGAGTGAAGGGAGCATCTTTTAAAATATTGACAAATTACGCTTGCTCTGCCACATTCTGTGCTATGCTGTACTGTGCTGAGGTGTCTGTCATCCGTTCTGTTGTCTCCGACTTTATTTGTTCTGTTATCTCGAAAACCCGTCGTGTGTACCTAGAACCTATCTTACACGGCAAATTCATTAACTCACTCAGCCATCAGCCCTCTTAGCCCTTAGCCCTTCCCTCAGCTCCGTCTTCCTGTCGCCTCTGCCCGGAGCTATCATCTGCTCCACTGCTTTGTGCTACTATTTCCTGCCCTGTCCCATCCTTCTGTCTCCCTGTCCTACGCTCTTCTTTGCTATGCATTTCCACCCTGTCCCACCTGCTGATCTGTCTTGGCCTATTCTGTACTGTTCTGTTGCCTCCTGCCCCCCCCCCCCCCACACCCTGTCTTCTGCCCTGTCATGTCATGCCCGGTTGTGGCGGACCCTCTGTGGAGCGTCTTGCCCGTTTTGTGAGTGTACTGCCGCAATGTTAAATGATGCCCGGATTTCGCAGTAGGCGACTGTACCTGCCATCCCCGATTCCGCCGCCCCAGGCCAAGTTATGCCGAGCTCCGGGCCCAGCCCCAGCCCATCCCAGCCCCAGCCCCAGCCCCAGCCCCAGCCCCAGCCCCAGCCCCAGCCCCAGCCCCAGCCCCAGCCCCAGCCCCAGCCCCAGCCCCAGCCCCAGCCCCAGCCCCAGCCCCAGCCCTGGCCCCGGCCCCAGCCCTGGCCCCAGCCCCAGCCCCAGTTCCAGCTCCGGAGCCCCAGTCCCAGTCCCAGTCCCAGTCCCAGTCCCAGTCCCAGTCCCAGTCCCCAGTCCCAGTCCTAGTCCCAGTCCGAAGCCCAGGCCCAACCACAGGCCCTGACCCAGGCCATAGATCCAGCCGCGGTGTCAGTCCCAGTCCCAGGTCCAGGCGTATCCGCTATCCTAGACCCAGGACCAGTCACAGTATCAGGCCCAGGCCGAGCCGCAGTACCAGGTCCGGGCCCAGCCGCAGCTGAAGCCGCAGCCGCAGCCGCAGCCCGGCCCTGTGATGCACTACCTAGCCCGCGCTGGTCACGTTAATCATGCAATCGACGACGATGTAACCAAGGGGGCTTTGGTCGTTCCGGTCCCGTTCCATTTTATTTATGTGTCTGCAGTACCCAGATGTACCACCCATGTCACTTCCTTACTGGACACGTGCAATTGTTTTGTGTACCAATCCTGTGTGTAACTCTACTGCAGTAGGTTCTGGAAGAGCAGGTGGACACTGTTGTTTTTTTCGCAACCTTACAGGTCGTGTTTGCTTTCATTGGAATTTTCTTGAATAAATGTACTGTCCAGAGCAAGTGGGGCAAGTGCGCAAAAACTGCCTACGCCAATGCCCGAGGACGGGCAAGGCATATCCCAAATAGTCCAGCCGGATCTTGGCGGCGACGAAAACGCCTGGTATTCTAAAGAGATTTGTGGTCAGACATGTCTCCGAATTATCGATATCGTTTCAATCCCGGCCGTTTGACTCTAGTTTGAGATTCTCGCATTTTGCGTGGTGTTTTGGTATTCACAATGTCTGCGGGGCGTAATCCATGGTTGATCCAAGGGGAAAAGGAGGCAGACGGCCATGCTCCCCCCCCCCCCAAAGATTGTCAAAGTGTTGTAAGAAATTACATCTCTAGTTTAGACTAGTAAGGCAGGCAGGGGCAGGGGGCACGTACCTGAAGTTACATTAAGGGTCCGATTTCTGGCAGGGGCCCCAGCCCGCAGAGCTGGAGGCACCTGCCACTGCAATGTTAGCTAGAGGGCTAATACCCACCGGATCAACATGCAAGGCCCTCTGGCTGGCATTGCAGTGCCCGGCTTGGTAGGCCGAGGCCCCTGAATACGACCTCGGGCCCTCAGATCGGACCCTTAATCCCATATGTGCCGTACGGCCCGAAATGCCCCTCGGAACCTAAGGAGGGGGCACGTACCCTCTATGCCCTCCCCCTCCCTCCTGCCTTACTGATCTAGACTAGAGATCTCATTTCTTGCAAAACTTTGACCATCTTGGAGAATGGTCCAATACATAATAATATCCCACCACTTTAGATACGCTGTATCTGAAGTGGTCAAAACAGATCTTGATGGCGTCGAAAATGGACAATATTCCAGAGAGATTTGTGAATGATACCGCTGCAATCCCATCTGTATGGTATCTGTATGGTAACTTACAAACAGAACTTGCTCTGACAGGCCATCGCAACGCAGGTCACTGTGTAAGATTGTAGAAGCAAAAAATTAAAGCCAGAACCGAGTTTGGAGGGCTTTACGAGATAAGACCATATGTTAACGATCCTCAAACATCGATGCCTCATATTTCACTTTTCAAGGAGTTGCCCTTACGGAGGAGTCTCCGCCGCCGACCTCCACGACCGCTGCCTGCGCGGACGGTCTGTCGTGCTCACGCCGAGCGATATTACGGCCGCTGTGTTTCTGTCTGCCTGACCCATTAGACCCAATCCTGACCCAAAGCAAACTGCATTGGCGACCAGGAAGGACAGCCACGGCCGATAGTTATAATCGTCCAGTATATCTAGTACCTTGGTGTTGTCGGTGTCACACGTGCCATCAGCACCCCGCTGACTGGGACTGGGACTCACAGTCAAGATGGAGAGGGATCCAGCCTTATGACGTTCCGTGCAAGTGCCGGAATGTAGCGACAAAATGCCTGGTTGTTGGGTTGTTGTTTCACCCACCTAAGAAAACATGAATGGATGGTAACGAACGCCGTAGAACTGTCAAACCCGAGGTCAGAATTGGGGATTAATTTCTGCGCTTCAGGATGCTGGGGCACTGGTTCTAAAAAAGTCGGAGTAGACGGCCTAATGTCCCGCTTAGGTGAAAGTTACCTGCCGAATAAAGAGCACAACCTAGTTTTGCTCCGGTGAAAGGTCTTTTCATGGGAAGCTCGTCAAGGTCACTGCTGGTAGCAAACAGTGGAACAGTGAAACTCATTACTGCAAGCGTACATTGAGTGGCCATGGATCATCATCTTGAGTGATTATACACCAGCAAGCCAAGGCAATGTTTGTGACTGATTTTTGCACACCAGTGACACATGCTACATGCAAAACGAAAACAGCAGTTTTACTGGATGCTGGTTAAAACTTTTATCCATGTCATGTGTATCAATGTGTAGGAAAACGATTGAAAAGCTGGTTGACCAAGGTATCCCAGATGGTTTGGACATGAAGCCAGGACTGATAATACCATGTTCAAATTTTTGAAAGAAACAGTTCAAGCCTAAAAGGAGTTCTATTTACAATACAAATTTCTACATTAACACATACATATTCGCATAGCAAAAAACAAAGGTTTAAATGATAGAAATAGACACTGGAAGCAAAACAAGCTTTGCTAGTAATGTCAATTTCGACCAGACGTGGGAAGCCCGCACAGTTTTATCATTTAATCCTGGAAACAACAACGGAACACCTTAAGAACTACTCAAAAGAGAAAGAACTCGACACAAATAATCCCAAAACACACACACACGCACACACACACACACACACACACACACACACACACACACACACACACACACACACACACACACACACACACACACACACACACACACACACACACACATAAACTGCAATACTTCCTGAATCGCACCTTGCACGGTAAACACTGCTCTGACTTCACACGCTCCCGCTCGTCTCAAGCCCCAGTGTAAAAAAATACTATACCGATACCCGGTGGCTCGCTATCCTGCCTGCCTGCTATACTGATGTTCGGTGCTCCGCTAACCTGCCTGCCTGTTATACCGATGTTCAGTGCCTTGCTATCCCTCCTGCCTGTTAAAATATTGTTCAGTGCCTCCCTTTCCTGCCTGCCAGTATACCGATGCTCGGCGCCTTGCTGATACCAAGGACCGGTATTATACCTGACACGGATCATGAACCACTGATTTTCAAGAACATGTTTATGCTTGAGCAGCTCTGTAAATGCATGTCTCAATGC